GCAGACAAACTGCTCTTATTCTGAAGCCGTCATCCATGAAAGGCATGCTTGGGCTCCGTGGGTTTGCTTATGAAAGGCTCGGGTCTATCTCTGTAGAAATAAACAGTCCTAGGAATTGGAAGTTTGTTCTCTGCTATAAACCGACTGAGACAACTTGGGTGAAGTGGTGAAAGCCAAAAGGGATGAATGTATTAGAAGACATTTAATGTGGTTTAAGCGATGGCAGGCAGAGAATTTTTCATTTTGCTTCTGCAGAAATCTCATACCCAGATTCTGTGGAGCGTCTGTGAGTGCATTTAAAAAGTCCCGGATCCTGGAGACCGAAGCTGGGTTGTTTTGGGATCCAGAATGGGCGAGAACAGGGCTCTGCAGCTTCACTTCCCGTCTCCCAGTGTACTTCGTAAAGATGCTTCTAGGTTTTTGTCACTTTTTCTAGGTTTTGTCACTTCCCTTTCTGACCTCTGTAATTCACAGGGCTCAGTGCAAAATGAAATGCAGGGGCCCTTGTTAAACTTCTAAAACAAACTTTGCACTGAGAACAGTAGAGTGCTCACAGCAGCAGTGTACCCATAAAAACCGCCCTGCTTCCAGCTTTGGAGCCTCCTGAGAAGGTGAGATAAAAATAATTAAAGCCCCTGCCAGGCGCTGGGGAGGAGCCTTTTTTCTTCCAGTCCAATGGGCTGTGGGGAGAGTTCTGCCCGCCTTTGAGATCAGTGACAGTCACTGTAAAAGGGCTGTTCTTTTTCCTTTCTAGTGCACTTTGTTTGGAAGTTAGGAAACTGTGCTAGATGGCTTCTCTATATGTTGTATTTCCTTCCCCCCCCTTCATTTAGAACATACACCCCTCCAGGATGAGGCCACGACTGCATTATTTTTGTTCACTAAAACATGGTACCTTGGGTTGAGAAGTTCACATTTACGGTCAGCAGGCTGGCTCGGTGCCATAGCGTGGAAGTCTGGGGGGGTCTCTCTTTGTTAAAGCTGCCAAGCTGAGGCTCACTGGTCCCTGAATAAAATGCTAATGAGCAGACCCTGGCTGTGCAGTGGGAGAGGCCTGGAGACTGTGCAGCTCCTGGGGTCCCCCAAAATGGAGCCAAGGCCTGTCGGCTGAGGGACAGGTACAGTGAGTGTTTGTGCGAAGGATCAGCCTGCTGGGTGACTCAGAAACTGCTCTGCAACACAGTGGATTAAAGGTTGTGTTTTTTTGAATTAGAGCAGATGGACAAAGAGAGGCAGAGTTCAGATTAACTGATCGTCAATCAAGACTGAGTTGCAGAAGGGGAAAAACTCAGCCCGATCACTTAAAAATTTTGAGCAAATTCAATTTATTTGTTTATTTTTTGAAAAGCAACTTTATGGTTACAAAAACATCCCTGCCAGAGAAAGGGTTAAATCCTGCACATCTCCAGAAAAGGGTCACTTGTATGCCTTTCCAGACATCCCTACCGATTTTGTTCTCTGTCTCATTTGCATATATCCAGATCCATAGGCATTTGTTACTTAAAATCCTGTATCCTGCTTTGAGCTAGATTTTAAAACTTGTAACTATGTCCTGAAAATCCGAAGTCCGTTGTGATTGTTGAGTCACCCCAGCAGCATAAATTTGAGTAATAAAACCAAAGACAATGTGTAAATTTATGTTTGGGCAAGCTCAGGTGAAGGAAAGCATCGCTGGTGCCCAGGGCCCTGTTGAATTTACAACCTTCCTCCCGGGAATGCCCCCCCTGAGCCTGCCGGAAGAGCTTGCTGAGCCTGCTGAGCCTGCTTCCTCTGCTGGCGCCCCCTAGCGGAACAAGAAGAGGGCTTCAGGCAGCCAGAGTTCCTCTAGTGAGAACCCAACCTTCTCTTTCACCCCAGGAGCCCCTCCCTATCTGCAGCCTCACCTTGTTGCCAAGGTGACCGTGTAGTTAGGTCTGCCAGGGTTGCCCCTGTGCTGAACATAGCACTTTTTGTGTCATTATTCTCTAATAACAGTGATTTGCACAGCATTCACATTGTATTAATTATAAGTAATCTAGAGATGCTTTAAAGTATCTGGAAGGGTGGGTGTGGGTTTTCTATCAGGGACTGGGGTGGACCAGTCCCCTGTAGATATGGAGGGAGACTGCACCTGACACTGGGTTAGCGGACAGCCTCACTGCTCGAGGTACTGGTACTCCCCGGAGTCCAAGGGGTGGTGACACTTGGGGTAGGGGTCTCCCTGGGGTGCCAGGGCTCAGGCCATGGATGGTTTAGCCTCACGTTTTATGAAGGTGCACATTAGTACGGTGAGGTTCTTGCACTGGGAGGAAATTCCACAAGTCCTAGCAGCACCTAGCTTTCTATATGTCAGTAGTATTTGTGTGCAGACCTTGGGTGCCAGGTCCAATTATTGTTACAGTAACCAAATTCAGTCAAATACAAAAATTGGTTAAAATCAGAGCCTCTGTAGCCTATTACAGAGAACTGTTTCAGGAGAAATTATCTGAACACTTTGCAAAATCTCAGTGGTAATAAATGAAAAGATGTGGTATTTTGTTAAAAGTGCAGATTGTTGGGAGAAATTGTGCAAATTTAGAGTTGTGGATTTAGATTATTTTTTATTTTTTTTGGTACCGGGGATCAAACTCGGGTCCTTGCACTTGTGCAGCAGGCTATGAAACCACTGAGCTAAATCCCCGTCCCACATTTAGATTATTTTAAGTGTCTTTAAGTTCTTTTTTTTTTCTCTTGTACTGGGGATGGAAGCCAGGGCCTCTCTCATATGAGGCCGTGCCCCTGAGCTGCACCTCCAGCCCTGCCTTTCTTTATGGACTGAAAGAAAGGGAAGCTACAAATTCTAATTAATGACCAAATGTACATGGGATGCATAAAAGTGCTGCCGGAGTCGCAGGTGCCTGAGTCCCCTCTCCCTCCTGCTCTGGGGCATATACTTTGGAGGTTATTTCTTTTTCTCCCTGCACATTAGTAAAGTAATTGGGCTTATCGTGGGCATCAGTACCGGTGAAGATTTCCTGGGGTTGCTCCCTTGTGTGAGAATTTGCCCCCCAGAATCAAGGCCTACTTCCTTGAGAGCTTGCTTTCAGGCTGCTGGAGCTCCTGGCCCCTGTCCTCTCTTGCTGCTCCCCACCTTAGAGTTGATGGTTGGGGTTTTGTGCAGGGGGTTCCAGCTCTTCTCATGCCCACCCCATGCGTCGCTGTACCCACCTCTCCCTCAGCTGCGATTTCCTCTGATCCTGATAACTGGAGTCCTTCCCTGGCTAATCTGGCCTCAGATCTGCTGCCAAGAGCTTGACTATGCCCACCCTTAAGCTTCACTGTTTATTAGCTCTTTCCCTCCCTCTGCTAGAGTGTGAGCTCCACGCCTCCCCAGCCCCAAACCCTTGGTCTACAGCGTGCGTTTGGTAAATGGGGCTCAGATGTTGAGTGAATGGGGCTGTTCTAGGTCCTTTTTTGCAGAGGGGGAATATCCCTGCCTTCCCGTGTACACTAGACTTACTGCCACCACTTCCTGTGTGTCTGTCCAGCTGTCTTCCTCACCAGCTCCTGGGGTGGTGACCAAAGCCTGTGGCTAAATTCAGCCCCCAGTTTGTTTTGCGTGGCTGGAGAGCCAAGCATGGTTTATTTCTCTTTCTGTCTCTTTCTCATGTTACTAGGGATTGAACCTACAGCCTTCACAATGAGATACATCTCCAGCCCCTTTTAGTTTTTATTAGAGACAAGGTCTTGCTAAGTAACTGAGTTACCCAGATGAGGCTCAAACTTGGGATCCTCCTGCCTCAGCCTCCCAGAATGCTGGGATTACAGGTGTGCCTCACATTACCTAGCTGGTTACTGCATTTTTTTTTTTTTTGGTACTGGGGATTGAATTTGGGTCCTTGTGCTTGCTGGCCCGGGGATTTAGCTCAGTGGTTTCGCCGCCTGCTGCGCAAGCGCAAGGACCCGAGTTCAATCCCTGGTACCAAAAAAAAAAAAAAAGTAAAACATAAATGTACAAAAGTTGGTTAGCCCTTTGCTGAGAGCAGTTGTAGAGGATGTTGCCTCTTGGCCAAGAAAACTTCAAATATTCACTGGCTGGCCCCTTATAGGACTTAGGTGTCTGTCCCCTGTGAGACTGTGAGCTTTCTGAGGCCCTGAGGACCATCTTTCTCCCTGAACCTTGGGATGTAATGTTTTAGAGTTGAGTGGAACCCATGGGTAGAGGCAGATGTGGGGGTGAATCTGGTGCTAACCTGTTCTGACTCTGAGACTCGGGGCGGGGTGGGCAGTGGTTGCCCTAACCTCCTTTCCTATCTGCAAACAGGAGTTCAGACCACCACCTCCTGTGCTTGCAGGAATTAAGCAAGGTTATCGATGCCTGTGCGTACTTAGCATAGGATTTGTGTTTAGTGTTAGCTGTTGTTGTTGATGGTGCAGATAAACATCCAGCAGAAATTGCAGTCTGATCATAATGTAAACCAAACTGTGAAACAATTGTAAAGGAAAAAAAAGCAAACCAGTCATTCTGGGTTAGCTTTTTTTTTGAGACAGGGTCTCCCTATGTAGTCTAGGCAGGCCTTGAACTCACTATGTAGCACAGGCTGGCTTCAGACTTGCAGCGATCCTCCTCCCTTAGCCTCCCAAGTGCTGGGATTACAGATGTGCACCAGCACACCTGGTGACTGTTTCTTGAGATGCGGTCTTGCTGTGTAAGCCTGGGCTGGCCTCCAACTCCTAACCCTCCTGCCTCAGCCTCCCAAGTGTCAGAATTGCAGGTGTGCATCACTGTGCCCAGCACAGTGCTGGTTCAGGAAAGCTAAGTTCCTGTTAAGAGAGATGCTGTTTCTTGAAGAGCATGAGGTATCCCAGTGCCCTGTGAAGCCAGGGTCTGGATTGTGGAGCAGTCTCCTGCACGGGCAGGGGTGGAGCTAGAGGGCATGGACTATCCTGGTCAATTGCTGCCTTGCCGGCCGCAGGTGCCCTGATGATTTACGAGTTGAAATGATTCGAGATAGTGACGTGTTGGGTCTTTTGCTTTGCAGGGACAGTGAAAGTGAAGAGTTCCAGCATCCAGGTGGGCGATCTCATCATTGTTGAGAAGGTGCGTGGGTCCAGGGTTGCAGAGGGGCCCTGCTGCATGAGCCGGTGCCTGTCATTTATCAAATTTGGCTTTGGAGCACTTCAGCTTGCATTTCTGACACTGTGCCTGCCAGCAATTTCATGGGGAAGTGGGGTGAAACGTAACGAGAGAAGAGTGGAGAGCCCCCTAATGCATTCTCAGAAGAGCAGCACTAATGATGGTAGCTTCAGCCACTCTCATCTCTGTACCTGTGATTTGGGATGTATGCAGTGCTCTTAGGGGAATATTTGATTAGAGGAGTTTTCCCTCACCTTGTTTCTGTAGGAATTGAACTATACTCTTTTATAAGGATTAAATCCAAGGACTCAGGGTTGATTTGAGGGAAAGGGAAACTTCTGTGACAGCTCAGAGCCACACAGTCCCTGGATGTTAGGATGGGGTCTTCTCTTCAGAATTAAATGTGGCTGCTGTTGGCTTCCCTGGTTTATTTTTTTTGGCTTTTTTGTTTTGTTGTGTTTTTGAGAACGGCTCTTGTTGCTTCTTTATTAACATACCTCTAACAGCTAAACATGGAGCTGGAGAATTGGTAGAAGCAAAATGCATGACCAGAGCATGCGTCTTTTTTTGTTTCTTGTTTTTATTTTTTGTTTTGTTTTTTGAGACAGGGTCTCGCTATGCAGTTCAGGCTGGCCTTGAACTTACTGTGTATCCCAGCCTGGTCGCGAACTCAGAGTGATCCTGTCGCCTCAGCCTTCTGAGTGCTGGGATTTCAGGCACGCGCCATAATGCCTGGAAGGGAAAGGCATGGAAGGGTGCTGGCTGCAGGGACAGGCTTTGTCCATGTTCTCTGGCTGGACTCTCAAGAGCTGCCGGACAACTGGAAGCGTCCTTCCACAGAGGGAGTATGGATAGGGAGTTAGAAGAATCCCAGGAGTGTGCAAGATTTCAGATTTGAAACAAAATAAACTCTGTCTTGGTCAAAGGCAGAAACGTAAAGAAAGGTGGTGTGCTGTGGTGGCTCCCCTTCTCCAGCGTGGCTGTCATAGTAACGGTCTTCCTTCTCTCCCCACAGAACCAGCGGGTCCCCGCCGACGTGATCTTCCTGAGGACATCAGAAAAAAATGGTAAATGTTGAGACCAGCTTGGAAAATGACCATTAACCTTTCAGGGGCAACTCCACGAAGTAATCAGGTGAAAATGTAACAGAAGTAGATTGTCACTTTGGAGCCATGGAGAGGAACGGAAAACATCTTAATAGTGCAGTCTTTTGGAATTAGAAATGTCTTTGGTAACTGGACATGGTGGTGCATGCCTGTATTCCCAGCACTCAGGAGGCTGAGGCAGGAGGATTGCCACGAGTCCGAGGCCAGCCTGGGCTACATAGTGAGTTCAAGGCCAGGCTTGACTGTATAGTGAGACCCTGTCTCAAAACAAAAAAAAAGAGTGTGGTGCCCACAGGCTGGTAGATTGTGATCACGGGGAAGAGTCCCTGGTGACTGGCACCTGGTGAAGCTACCTCCGTGGGCCATGGCTTGCTCTCGGGCTGGGTGAGGTTCAGCTGCAGGAGTTGGTGGAATGAGGTTGCCTAACAGAGGGGCTCTCTCTTCAAACGCAAACCGGGAGCTTTGTGAGGAGATAGGCGGTAGGGAAACTGGGCAGAGGGCTGGGCACCTTTACTGCTCTTTTTTAGGTTTTATTTTTGGAGGTACTGGGGGTTAAACCCAGGGCCTTTGCACTGAGCTTGTCCCTAGCCCTTTATTTACTTTGTTTTGAGACTGGGCATTGCTAAGTTGCTAAGTTGCCCAGGCAGTCCTCCTGCCTCAGCCTCCCAGAGAGGTGGGATCACTGCTCCAGAGTGTGGTGCTGTGCCACTGTGCCTGTGGGTTAATTTGTCATCGGAGCCCAGTGTGCCAGAGAGAACCCTTCAGAGTCTCCTATAAGAAAGACCCTTACCTGTTGCATTTATTTCCCACCTCACTTTTTAACTTATATTTAAGCTGCTCTGAGAAAACAAGATGGCTTTTTTGTTTGTTTGTTTCTTGCTTTGGTCAGTCTGACCTAGTTGGAAATATTTGAATATTTGAAAACTTACATTCCTGTTCTTTGGGGTTCTTGTGGTTTTACTATGAATTGAATGAAGTTATGAATAAAATTTTACACTAATGATATTGTAATCAGGAGAGGAGGTTGAGGGTTCTAGGTTAAAGGCTGCAGCTCTGTCCTCGGAGGGCCTCTGTGTTGTGCTGGGGACTGGAGTGTGGGTCAGCGGGCTCCACACCCTCCCCATCTTGACAGCAACAAGCACAGTTGGGGCGATCTCCTGCCGAGGTTCTCAGGAATCCCGCTGCAGTGCCCGAGTCCAGTACACTTCCTGTGCCGTGCAGTGCAGAGCTCATTGCATGGACTTTCATGTCACACTGTGACATGTGTGAGCCAGTGCAGCCTGAGGATCCCCTACCTGAAGTGCTTGGGACCAGAAGTGTGTGAGATTTTGGAGTATTTCCAGTTTCAGAATGTTTGCCAATTCGGAATGAGATACCTTGGTGATGGGCCCTAAGTCTAAACATGAAATGCATTGGTGTGTTTCGTGTCTACCTTATCCAGACAGGCTGAAGGTCAATTCATGGTACTTTTAGTAATCATGCGCCATAACAAAGAAGTTTTCTCCTTGTGACATTCATTAGCTTTCAGAACCCTTTGGAGTTTGGATTTCTGAGTAGTGTTGCCCACCCTGTGATAGCGCAGGGGCTGACAAGCCCCTTCCTAGCAGTCAGTACCGCTGTGCTCTGCTGGCCCAGCTCTTCAGCCCTCCAGCATTTGTCACAGGGAGACTGAGGCGCAAACAGGAGACGGGCCTCAAAGCCCCTGCCTGGCGTGGCCTCAGCCTGGCCACCCCAGGCTCTTCTGCGAGCTTGTTAGGACTGCATCTCCCTCATTTTGGAGATGAGGACACACTGGCTTGGCAGGGTCAGCTGGCCCGGGGTGCCCCAGCAGGTGACAGCGGGTAGAATTGGAAGCCAGATCTTTCTGGCCGAGAGCTCATGGAGAAAGGGGAAGTAGAATATTTATTTTCCATTTGGGTCTCTGGCCATGGATGGGACATTTTTACAAAGACCAGAGTAGAGGGTCCCCAGAGGTGCCTGGAGAAGGACTCTGGGATTGCAGGTGACTAGATGGTGCCCATCTTTCCTCCACAGGCTCTTGCTTCTTGCGGACAGACCAGCTGGACGGGGAGACAGACTGGAAGCTGCGGCTGCCTGTGGCCTGCACACAGCGGCTCCCCACGGCCTCCGTGAGTAGCTTCCACACTGGCCACAGGGCAGAGCAGGGTGCCCAGAGGCACGAGCCCGAGGGACCGGGCAGGGGATGCAGAGGTGAAATGGGGCTGCTGGGGGCTGGTGGTCCTGAGAATCCCAAATGTTTGTGGGTTCCTGTTTATGTGGCTTGGCAAATGCAGCCCCATGTGCAGGGAGTGAGCTCCTTCAAGGGAGGCTCAGAAGCCTAAGGGACCTTGACAAGGTGGCTGCAAAGCATCAGGCCATCAGCCAGAGCCAGTCGTTCCTCTGTCCCAGCCTCCAGCAGCTTCTCCTCTTCCCAAGAGCAGTTCTGCAGTCTTCAGCCCCATACGGTCTGTCTGTACTGCACTTGGGCTCGGGCCTCCTTGGCTGCCCCTGGGCTCTTGGTCACGAGTGCTTCTGCCTCTGTGTTTCTCCTTGGCGGGTCCTCACCAGGGACCCTCTCCACCTGGGGTCTGCTGGCCGGGCACCTGCAGGGCGTCCCTACCTTGCCTGCCATCCCCACCCCACCTGCCTCCAGGCCGGGTCCTCGGCAGGTGCTGTTTGGTTGTTGCCACCATTCCTGAGCCCATGGCAAGCTCTGTGTCTGCTTCCTGCTCAGTCACAGGCATCGTGCTGTTCCGTGCAGAAGGCGGGGACAGGCGGGAGTCCGCCTCAGAAGAGTTAACAACAGTAAACCTGGCCAACGTCCTCAGGAGTTTCTGTGGCTAGTAGAAAGTGAAATAGCACCCTTACTGCGGTTAATTTTTAAACCAGGAATTCCAGGGCAGTGAGTTCTAGGTGCAGCCTGGGGCCCTAGAAAGTGTTCTGCTCGTCACAAGGAGCTAAGGACACAGGGCCTCGTACCCTTGTCGCTGCCCTGGCCACCTGATGGTGTGCAAAAGAGAACTCAGAAGCCCAGATTTTCATATGAATCACTCACATTTTAATGTGAGTAAAAATTTAAAGAGCACCCTCATTCTTTTATGTGTTTCCATAATATTATAAGATGTGGAAATCCTAATGTATCCATTTTCTATCGTTTAACATTTGTATGCAATTTTATATTTATCTAGCACTGTATGACCAGGAATCATGGTTTTTAAAAATTTTTTTTTTTTTTTTGTACCGGGCATCAAACTCGGGTCCTTGAGCTTATGCAGCAGGCGGAGAAACCACTGAGCTAAATCCCCAGCCCTCAGGAATCTTGGTTTTAAAGGTAGATTTTGTAGGAAGACCTGCTTGCTTCCCTTTTCCCTACCAGCCATCCCTGCTTCCCTTTAAAAGGTCAAGCGAATGAGAGGTAAAAGGAAACCCCTAGGGGCTGGGGGTGTAGTGCTGGAGTGCTTGCCTAGTGTGTGTGAGGTCCTGAGTTCTATCCCCAGCACTGGAAAAAAAGCTAAGAGAAACTTCTACAGGGCAGGGCTGGGCAGGCCTAAGGTGACCATCTCCGGTCACTTGGGTCTGCAGCGCCCTGGTGCTGTCTGCCTGCATGGAGCCTGTCTCAGCCGGGCTCATGGCAAGATCAGCAGGGCTGGTTTTGAAAGACTGTGCTACAGTGAGGAGAAAGTGGGAACGAAGAAAGGGAGGATGGAAGAAACAGAGCAGGTCCATAGGTGTGAGGCAGAGCGGGTACCGTGAGAGCAGGAACAGCCCAGTCCTGGCCAGCTTCCTTCCCACTATGGGAGCTCCTGCTGCTGCCGCCCAGTGCCACCTCCTGCCTCCTCCCACGCCTGACCTGCCCTCCCGGGCCTCCCTTCCTCTGCTCCTCCAAGAGACAGTAATGTGGCCACTGAGCAGGAAAGGACATGGGCAGGGGCTGCCCATGGCTCCAGACTCACACGGCGGGCATGAGGGAGCTGGGATCTGGTCTTGCTGTGTGTGCAGAGTGGAGTCCGTGGTCAGGAATGGGAACTTGTGTCCTTCCTGTTAGGGGAGAACAGCCTTGAGGAAAATCAACAGAAAGCCCCAGTCACCCTGCCGCGAGTGTGCGGGAGAGTGTGTGAACAGTGACAAGGAAGGTAGAGCAATGTGACAGAGTGCTGAAATAAGTTATGTGAATGTGGCTTCTCTCTCTTGAAAGTCAGGATGTAACTAAGATCCTGGGTCATGCTTAACCATGGACAGCTGAACCGGTGGGTCAGGGCTACTGCTGTGTGTACATGTGTTTAGTCTGGCCAGCACTGAACTTGATACAGGGTCTGGGCCACCACCGCTTCCTCCTTGTGCCAGTGCAAGGAGCCCGTTACCTCTCCTTGGGACTTTCTGCTGCTGGACTTTGTTTGCGTTTCCATGCTCTGTCTCCTTCCTTGCCCTTCCCTTTCCTGTTGCCCAGCCTGCTTCCTCTCCTTAATCTTTGTTCTAGAAGGGACTCTGCTCCTCCTGACTATACCTGACTCATGCCTCTTAACATACTGTGCTGTGAAACGCCATTCTTGCCAAGGATCGCCAAGCCTTCTCCTCTGTCTTACTGTCTTAACTCCTGTCTGAAGTTAATTTCTTCCCCCACCCCTACCTCAAGTGCTGGGGATGAACCCAGGGCCTCATGCACACTAGGCAAGCACTCTACCACTGAGCTGTACCTCCGATCCTTTCTTTTTTTTTTTTGTACCGGGGATCGAACTTGGGACCTTCCGCTTATAAGGCAGGCTGCGGAACCACTGAGCTAAATCCCCAGCCCTCCTTTTTTAAAATTTTGAGACAGGGTCTCACTAAGTTGCCCAGGCTGGCAGCCGCAGCCTCCTGAGTAGCTGGGGTTATAGGCATGCTCCGTCACACCTGGCTGCAGTAACTGCTTTTAAGTGTACAGTTTAACACCTTAAATACATTCACACTGTTATGTAGCTGTTACTGCCAGCTGTCTGTAGAACTCATTTGTTCTCCCTCCCTGAGCTCCTGGCAGTCTTCCTGCTGTCCTTTGACTCCAACTCTAGAGACCTCCTGTATGGGGAATCAGACTGTGTTTGTCTTCTGTGTGCTGACTTATTTCACTTAGCACAGTGTTCTTAAAGTTTGTCCATGTTACAGCATGTGTCAGAGTTTCTTCTCTTTTTAAGACCAAGTAATGTTCCACTGTGTGAAGATAGGTCATTTGATTAATTTGTCCCTGGTGGGCACTAGGTTAGCTCATGCCTCGTGGCTTTGTGAATAATTCACACAGGTGTACAAATATCTCTTCGAGTCCTTGCTTTCAGTTCTTTGGGACATATTCCCAGAAGTAGAATTGCTGGATCATAAAGTGATTCTGTGTTTAGTTTTCTGAGGCAGCGCCATGCTATTCTCCGTAACAACCACACCATTTTACATCCCCACCAGTGGTGCACAGGGTTCCAGTTTCTCTGCACTCTCATCATCGCTTGTTATTTCCTGCTTATTGATGATTTTAATAGAGGCCTGGGGTGGGTATGAGGTGCTCTTCCCTTTCTCCTCCCTCCCAGGGCTGTGCACAGAGCAGAAGCCCCATGACCCTGTGTTGGGTGAATGATGTTGATGAGCAAGCGGAGGGGTGGCTGTGTCAGGCAGGTTCTTAGCTGTGTGGCATCGCCCACACCATTGAGGCTGGACAGTGCGGGGTGAGGCGGGCTTGTGGGCTCTGCACCCAGACTCCTGGGTTGCTCGGAGCACTGTGTGCAGCACCTCTGAAGCTGACATAATGGAGGACTCTGCCCTCTCTCCACCTGCCCTCTGATTCTGAGAATCTGTTCGCTCTGTCTGAGAAATGTAGTTGCGTTTGAAGCATAGTAGATGCCTGCTGACATCCAGACCCATAACCCGACTGTCCCCCACAGGACCTTCTCCAGATTCGTGCCTATGTGTACGCAGAGGAGCCGAACATCGACATTCACAACTTTGTAGGAACTTTCACCAGGGTAAGTGAGCACAAAGCGCAGGGCGCCATTGTAGGGTGTGTGTTGGTGCCTTGGAGCCCGCCTGGCAGTGGTTTTATGCCAGATCAGATCAGCTGAGGTTCCCTTCCAGAGGCCCCACCTTGAATGGGCTGAGTTGCTTTTCATGAGGTCCACACCCTGCAGTCTCTGCCAGCCTTAGGGCAGCTCGATCACATAGACCAAGTGTGTGGTGGCTGGCTCCCCCGACACCCGGCCACGCTTTCTCTGTCCTCTCCATGTGTCTGGGCCTTTTTTCATTTGTAGAAATCTTATCTGTCATATTTTAATTTTTAAGTCAGTTTCAGACCTTTCAGAATAGAAATTAAATTTGGATTTAAATTAGTTTAGGAATATGAGTCAATTGATTTATAGAACCCCAATTCGGTTATCTCTGGTCTCTTTCTCAAAGCCTTAACACTGGCCAGCAAAGAGCCTGATTGATTTGCATCTGCATTTTAATTCTTACCTTGCTAAATATTTGTTTGTCTTTTTTTTTTTTCTCCTTGGTGCTGGGATTTGAATTGTGGGCCTTGTACATGCTAGGCAACTATGCTCTACCACTGAGCTACAACTCCAACACTTTGAAAACTTTAGTTTTGAAAAGGGTCTTGTGCATTTGCCCAGCCTGGTCTTGAACTTGTGATCCTCCTGCCTCAGCCTTCTGAGTAGCTAGGAATACAGGCATGTGACACCTGGCCCAACAAAACATTTCTTTAGTGTTAGAGACCTGTGCTTCTCAAATTGCTTACGGATGTTTCCATGAGAGATGAAAACTCTGAGGGTAGTAGCTGACGAGCTCACCTGTCAGGCTGAGATGTAGGCTTCCAAGCTGGGCTCTCTGGTTTCAAGTGACGGAAGCCATCCCCTCTGCCCTGAGGAGCTGGGAGCAGCCTGTGGGCTCTGCTGGGATCCTGGTGTGGACAGTCAGGCCCCAGCATTTCCCTCAGGTTCTGCATCTGCCAGTTCAGATTTGTATCTGTATAGAAGACACGTAGATTTCCTGTTTTTGTTGTTATTCCCTAAAACATGCAGAATACTGCTGTTCGCAGAGCGTTTGCATTGTACCCAGTATCGTACTAGAGTCACCTAGAGATGAGGGAGATGCACAGCGGGACGTGTGTAGGTTTCTCTGCAGGAGCCATGCCTGGTGTATGAGGGACTTGAGCGCCCTTGGGTTTGGGGATCCTGGTGGGGCCTAGGACCAGTCACTGGGGCACACAGGGTGACCGGGTGAGGATGACTCTGTTTGGTCTTTTCCAGGAGGACAGCGACCCTCCCATCAGCGAGAGCCTGAGTGTAGAGAACACGCTGTGGGCTGGCACTGTGATTGCGTCAGGTGAGGCACGGCATCCCGGAATGTGGTAGCAATTTGAAAGGGACAGAAAACCCTTTTGTAATTAGAATAATCACCTGTCAGATGGGAAAATTAGCTGCTGGTCAAGTGGAGTTTCCCATTTGTTCCGGCTCTCCAGGGAGTTCAGCTGACATCTAATTGTGGCTCGGACACGTCCAGAGCAGAGGCCGCCGGGGCTTTGGACTTTCTGCAGCTGGGAATGGCCCTTAATTGCCGCTTCAGTTGACATTCTAATCTGTACCAGAAACGGGGCCGGCCTGGCTGTTCTGGCCAGAAGCTGTGTCCAGGGAGGCTCCTGCCCGAGGGGTGTGGGGTCGGGTGGCAGCAGCGCACAGCAGAGGGCCGAGGCGCTGGGTTCCAACCCCAAGATGGCTTTGGGGTGAATGCTGGGTGACCCTAAGCAGAAGGGCTGCAGTGGCAGTGGCCGGCGTTGTGCCGAATCCTTTATGTGCGTCACGTGCTTCACCCACCCCCCCAGGCACCCTGAGGACAGACGCTAGTGTTATCCCATTCTGAAGACAGAGAAACTGAGGCTGGGGGTGCTGAGTCCACACAGTGGGTAAAGGGCAGATGTGGAACTCATTGTGCAGCTGTTAATATGTTATCGATACGTATTATTGTATTGCACTGTATTATCCAATTAACGTAGTAGCATAGTGGCCTCGCATTATGGACCCACTGCTGCCCACTTCCTATCTTAGCTGCTGGAGGGATTCGGCCTTTCCCCTTCGATTCTCCCCTGCTCTCTGCTTGGTTCCCCTTTGTTTCTATAGCACAGCAGACCCTGGAGGAAAATTCTGGGTGACCCAGGGGTGGGGAGGAAGCGCCCAGCACCCAGGGGGTCCCCGGCATAGGCCCAGGCTCGTGCTGGATGGCTGGCAGAGGCTGGCACTCTGGAGGTGCTTTGCTGCCTGCCTGCCTCCTGACGCCTGCTTGGATCTGGACCGCAATCTGTAACAGCCCCTTGGTCCCCTTGGTAACTGAGCAAGGGACAGCCTGGCCCTGAAGACTCTGCTCAGGCCTCCCTGGACAGGGTATGGCCTCCAGGGCACACCTGGCTGCCCTGGGCAAGCAGCAGCTGGTTCTGCTCTGCTCCCCCGGCCCCCAGCTGCCTGAGCCTGTCTGAACTGGGTTTTCTTCCTCAGCAGTCAGCCCTCTTTCCCACCCTTCCCAGCAAGTCATTACTCTTTCCATGCTGTGATAATTTGAAAAGTGAGGATCTCAGCTGACATCTGCATTTCATAGATTACATTTTGCACTTGAATTTGGTTTCTTCCTTTCCTTACTACTTCTTTCTGTCCTGTAGACATTTTTCTGTCACGGTTCTTGCGTTGTTTGCTAACTCACTTGTAAGAACATTTCATTTCTGAGGCACGTGCCTGTATCCTTTTCTTCCATCCAGTTTGTCATTTTGTTTTTTTTTTTAACTTGATAATGTCTATATTTGAGCACTTAAATTGTTTTCTGGACTGTTTGGTGGTAAATGCAGTCTTGCTCTTGTTTCAGTTTTGACTTAATTGTGAATACATTTGAACACCTTTCTACATAGAAGCCGGTTCTTATATTTTGGCCCATCTACTCTCCTTTGTCTTTTTGTAAGAATGCCTTCTAGAAGAAAGTCCAAACTGCTGTCTGTCGTAGGTTACAAGTGGTTTTTTTTTAAGTTGTTTGTCTTTTGTGTTAGCCTGTGGTGGTGGACATTGTTTGCTTTTACTATGTAGAGGTTCTCAATTTTTCTAGAAACATGATTACATTTGACCTTTTTGGGGGGGTTGCTGAGGATTGAACCCTGGCTTCACTCATAGAGCTACACCAGGCCTGCATTTCACATTTGGACTCTTGTGGCAAGCGTGCTTCTTTTACTTCACATCCTTGATAATCTTATGAATGCACCCAAATGAGCACCATGTTCTTTCACACATTTTTTTTTTTTTTTAATTTTGGAACCGGGGATTGAACTCAGGTCCTTGTGCTTGCGAGGCAAGGGGCGGAACCATAAGCTAAGTCCTTGGCCTCTCAGCACCATGTTCTGTCTTGCCCATGTGGTTGATATTGAATATGTATCTAGTGTTCTGATTTGCTTTTTGAGACAGAGTATCCTATGTAGTTCAGGCTGGCCTCAAACCCACAGCAGCCTCAGTGCTGGGATTACCGGCATGCACCACCACACCTGGCTCTTGACTTGCTTTTAAACTACTACTGGCGGGCCTGGGGTGTAACTCAGTGGTAGAATGCTGGCCTCACATGCCTCAAGGCCGGGGTTTAATCCCCAGTCTTCCTCACCTCCTAAGTGAGGTTAAACATCTCCCTTTTTTGCTTACTCTTCATTTGTATTTTCTTAATTATGTGTATGAATTGCTGCTTTGTGTCCTGTGCCCATTTTCCTGTTTGTGGGCTTAAAAAAAAAAAAGATTTGTCAGGACTGTTTGTGTTGTAAGAATATCTCCTTTTGTTTGTTGCCTTAACTGCAGTTACTTTTTATTTATTTTTTAGCCTAAGAGTCTACAATTTGTATCTAGTCAGATCTATTGATCCCTTTTCCTTTATGGTTTCTCATTTTTGTACCATGCTTTGGAAAAAATCTTCCCTGCTCTAAGATTATAAAATTACACACATTTTCATGGGGTGTTTATATGGTTTCGTGGTTAAGATACTGCATGTGTCCGGAATTTATCTTGGTCAAGGGAGTGGAGTTAGGACAGCCAGCCAGCCAGCCAGGGTGTCTTCCCTCTGCTCAAACCCTGGCCCGACTCTGGAGCTCTGGAGCTGGTCCTGGTGGCTCTTTTCCAGAGGCAGTCTCATGGTCAGATGGAAAGGGCATGGGGTGAGAAGGCAGCGCTGGGGTGGAGATGCCTGTGTGCAGGGCCTGCAGAGAGCGGCTTCCAGAGATGACCGACAGGCCGCAGGCACCTGGCATTGGTTGTCACGTCTGGCCCAGCAGCCCTGGGAGGTCACAGGCACCTGGGATGTGCAGGTCTCCTTGCCAGGCAGGAGCATGCATGGTGTGCATTTTGGTTCTTTTTCTTTTTTCTTTCTTTCTTTTTTTTATTTTCCAGTACTGGAAATTGAACCAAGGGTCTTGTGCATGGGCGGCAAGCATTCCACCACTGAGCTGCAGCCCCAGTCTGCACTGTAGTTCTTGCAGGTGGTTGGTTAGACATTTCTTCCCTTCCTCCTCCTTTTCCTCCTCCTCAAGCACCCACTCCACCTTTCATTGAGATACAGAAAAGTACACAAGTCCTCAGCACAGCACTTGGTGGATCGTGACACAGGGACCACCCTCGTGGCCTGACCCCAGGGTGGGAAGCGGAGCGCTGCAGCCCCAGCTCCTTTCCCCCACCTTGACTTCCAGTGGCCTCACCGTGCAATGGGGCGCTGGCTGGGGTGATGGGAAGAGTTCAGCAGCAGCTGCACACCTGTCCATCTGTCCACCCTGGTGGCTCTCTCCTCCTCCTCCACACCCAGAAGCCCCTTACCAGGCACCTGTGCCGAGGGCTCCTGCGCTGTGCTGCTGGTCCCTGTGCTTTAGTGGGGCCCGGGAAGGTCTTGCCCCACCCTTGAGGAGCCGGTAGTTCACAGGCGACATGGAAGAGGACAGGAAGTGGGGGAGAGTTTCATGTATTGCCTCTAAAACCAGTAAAAGGAAAGCAGTCTAGGTGGAAATGCTCAGAAAGCTAAGATTGAAATGGCTCGTCAGCCTTAATTTCAAAGATGAATAACAGTGATGTCTTTTATTTATCAGGTACTTTTTACTTATAGGGTATTTTGCTTCTATTCTTTTGATCTTATAGCAATAAATAAGGGTATTTAATGGAATGGAGAGAGCGGAAGGCAAATGGGACCTTGGGGATGGGTTAGATTTCACACAGCTCATGGGTGTTTTCCCTGCCTTCCTCTCTTGTGTTTGGCTGTGTGGGAAGAGAGCGAGCAGGCTCTCTTGGGTGGGACCCAGCGACATCGCCTGCCATGTCCTTGACAGGCGAACATTTGGAATAGGCAGAGCTGGGCATTTTCTGTGCTCCTACCTGGCCTTAGTTTCCCTGTATCACTGGGTAGACACCGAACTATTCTGATCTGTGAATGTGGGATGAACACGAGCTGTTTCCTTCTGGTGATCATCTTGAGCCAGCCGGCAGGAGTCCTGTCAGTTCTCTGAGACTTTGCTTCTGTGTTTTCTTCAGAATCCAGGTCCTTCCTCCTGGTCAGTCCACTGCTGCCCACTGCAAGCTAGAAAAATAAGAACCAGCGTCACCAGATTTTCCACTTCTCCAGGGGAAGCTGGTGGTCTCACTTTTCTGTCTGAAAGCTCCCCAGTTTAAAACTCAACACCCCATTCAAACTGTGGAAGCGGGGCTCCTGGGTGCTGGGCGTGCTCGGGTCCCATGGCGGCAGAGCTGTGGTCCTGAGCACAGGGAACCCATGGTCGAGAAAGGCCATTTTTAGCATTTTCGGCACTGAGCTTGGCAGGGCTGGGGAGCACCCCCTCTGGGGTCCCCGTGTTATCAGAGCCCTCACTGTCCCTGGGCATTGGGGTGGAGAAGGCTGAGCTACATCTGCCTAGGAACGGGCGTAATGGCTGAGTGGTCCCTCCAGCTCCACCCAGCTCTGCTCCCACTGTCCCACCATCTGCTCTGTGTCGGGCCGAGGGCGGGGCGTGTGCGGTCACAGGGGCCTGCCATCTGCCGAGGAGCGGGCCATCCGGCCGCTCTCCTGGCCTGCCATCTGCTGAGCCTCTTGCAGAGAAGCCTTGTGCAGGAGGACGTGGCCGGCTGTGACACTCCAAACTCAGGGGGACCTGGCTGCCCGCTGCTTCCTGGGCGCTGTCACAGCACGGCCCTGGTGGGGGACGCTGGCAGTGGGGGCCACTGTCCTGCTGCAGGTGGCTCCCAACCCCTTTGGGTCCCACATCTCCCTCCGCACAGTTCCCGAGAGTGAGGGAGAAGAGGGAAGGCTAGCCGTTTGCTTTCTCCAGCAGAACCAAACCGTTGCATCCCCAGCTCCTTCCTGTGAGCAGGCGGGCCAGGCCACCCCCTGTGTGGCTCAGGTTGGAGCTCAGATGCTGTTAACTCCGCTTCTCCAGCCCGCCGCCGCTGCTGGTCCAAGCCTTGTCCCCCTACCTGCCTCTCCCACCACTCCCTCCCCTGATTCCCATCGCAGCGCCTCTCCCTTGCCTCAGTGGCTGTGTTTCATGGCTTCCTTGCTTGCTGCCCATCTTCCGCACTGTACAGAGCAGAGCATTTTCTTGGCCCACACATTCAAAAGGGGAGATGGGTACATTTTTGACAGATATTCTCACATTTTCCCATTTCCTCCTCAGGCAGCGGTGTGTAGAACAGGATTCATTTTCCCACCTGTGGGCTAACACTGGATGTTGTCAGTCTTTTGAGTTATTGCTAATCTGATGGGGATGAAAGTGGTTTATTTGGCATCTCTTTGATCATTCAGTAGGTTGAGCATCTTTCCTAACACCGGCCAATTATATTTCTTCATGCATTGTCTTATTATAGAGGGATTGATGCCTTTCCTTCTTGTGCCTGGAGGAAGAGGGGCAGGAAAGTTCTTGGAAAGAGAGTTCCATTTGCACGGCCTCCCCCAAAGGGCAAAGCATGCTGGGTTGGAAAGCAATCAGCAGGAAGCACTTGGGAAAGGAGGGTGTGTTCAGAGCCCTCCATGGTCATGCCTGGAGGTAGGAAAGTTCTGTACCTCTCTGGAGGCCTCTAGGGGTGGGGACCAGAAGACAAATCCCTGTCCCCCAACTCTCCTGGCTGCTGGGCCCCCAGACCAGCGTACCCCATTGAACTCTCTGCCTTAGAATGCTCTGCATCTCCACTGGCCCATGCGGCCACTGCCAGCTCTACGTGGCTACTGAACACTGCGAAGGTGGCTTGTGAGAACGGGGAGCTGTGTTTTCTTTCATTTAGTTGAATTTCAGCAATTGCGAGTGATCAGTGGCTGTGCTGCTGTCAGCGTGCCATGGGCTGTTGGTCGCCCCAGTGTCCGCTGCCTGTCAGCTGCGTCGTGCACCTTTTAGGTCTGCATTCACATTTCTTTGGTTTGGTTTCTCATTTCAGGCACTGTTGTGGGTGTCGTTCTTTACACCGGCAGAGAACTCCGGAGCGTCATGAATACTTCCAACCCCCGAAGCAAGGTGTGTAAGAGGTGGTGGGATGCGCTGACCCACTCACATCCGTGATGGATGTGTGTAGGTGAGGGGCAGTGATAGGTCATTCATTTGGACATGTGTGTGTATATACACGCATGCACACACACATGTTCACACATGTGAGTACATGAAACCCGAGAAACGTGAGAGTGAAAACAAACTGCTGAGCCCTGGTTTGGCAGGTGAGTGTGCCGGCTCTTACACACACAGCTCGTATCGCCCTCCGTGCTGCAGCCCCGTGAGTGCAGGCGCCTCCCCTGCCCTGCTCCGTGTCATGGCTTGGACATGCTCTGCCCAGGCTGCATAGCGACTGGGGTGCGGGTGTCTGAGATGAAACCCTGCTATGACACTGGCTGTCGCGGGGCACAATCAGATCTGCGTTCTTCCCAGTGGCCCCATGTTGCTCACTTCACACCATGGCCCTCCCACCCCCTCCTGTCTCTGGTATTTTAAAAAATGGAGACATGGTCCCGCCATGTTGCCCAGGCTGGACTTGAAGCTGGTTACCCACTCAAGCAGTCCTCCTGCCTCTGCCTCCAGCTTTCGAGTCAGAACATGGTAGAGTGATTTCCTTTGTCAGTAGCATGAAGGAATGCTGGGTTTCCTGAACTTCCTGTCACATTCACCCCAGTGGTTACAACCATTGTCACAACCCTGCTGTGCCTTATCTGCTGGTTGAGTCTTATGCAGGGCCTGTTTCTGTGAAATTATGGACTTGCTGTGCCAGTTACTTTTGGGAGGAATATACATGAACATAAATGAACAATTACTAAAATAATAATGCTTACTTACGCCGCACCTATAATCAGGTGCCTCAGAGGTGTGTGCCCAGACTTTGTGTGTGGTACGGAGTCAGGAATGGAGAACCCAGGTCATTTTACGGGACCTCTGTGGAGGGTGGTAGGGGTTACGCTGTGCTCAGCACAACCCAGTGCAACGCTCACCTGCCTATGTGTTTCCAAGTCAGAATCTTCTAAAGTTCTAAACAGTTTGGAATCGGAATGCTTTGAGGATTCTGCCTCTGCCGGGTGTGGAGCCAGCTCCCAGCCAGGCTCCTCTGGCCCTCTGTGCCCTGTCCTACAGATCGGCCTGTTTGACCTGGAGGTGAACTGCCTCACCAAGATCCTCTTTGGCGCTCTGGTGGTGGTGTCACTGGTCATGGTCGCCCTCCAGCACTTTGCTGGCCGCTGGTACCTACAGATCATCCGCTTCCTCCTCTTGTTTTCCAACATCATTCCCATCAGGTGAGCTGGGGGCTCGTGTGTGGGGCCGCGATGTTTTCTTCTCTGTCTGCGTCCCGAGGCTGTGGTTCGTGGCTGTGAGGAGGAGCTGGTCTCTGTAGAGTGCTGGCCAGGGACAGTCAGGGCGAGGCGTGTGGGCCCCCTCTGCGGCTGCAGCATTCTGACGGCAGCTTCTCCAGTGACCCAGGCTTCCCAAGTCCTGCTCTCCACAGAGCACCTTTCCTTGCCTTTGGCAGTCTGTGCTGGGGTTGGCGTTGAGGGTTCACGTAGTCAGCCAGCTCTGCAGGGCTGGTCATGGCTGCTGCAGGTGCTGTGTGGAGAAGGATTGTGAACCTGAGTCTGCGCTCTGAGGGAACGAGGGTTGAGACTGATTTGCAATGAGTGCCGTGGGTATATGGGAGGAGCTTGTCGCATGCACCAATTGTTTGCCTTGCTGATGTGGAGGCTGAATAAGTGGTTTTAAAAATGATGTAAGTAGCTGGGTGTGGTGGCTCACACCTGTCATCCCAGCACTCAGGAGGCTGAGGCCGGAGGATCACTGCAAGTTCCAGGCCAGCCTGAGCTACATAGTGACTTCAAGGCCAGCTTGAACTACATAGTGAGACCCTGTCTCAAAAAACGAAACAAAGCATAAAAAGGTGTAAGCAATAGATTGTCACAGTAGAAAAAATTAACACCTACCTTAGCAAAAGGAGGAAATGAAAGTCACCTTTTTTTTTTTTTTTTTGGTACCGCGGATGGAACTCAGGTCCTTGTGCATGCTCATCAGGTGGCAAAACCACTGAGCTAAATCCCCAGCCCGATCTTATTACCAAATGATGATCATTTATTATTTGGCATGCATTTTTTTTTCTAGAGTGCTTTCTATTTTAGAAAAAGGGGATTTTGCTGTGAATAAAACCTGCATTTAAAAAAACAAAAAAATGTGTTACAAATAACTTTTCCTATCAGATATACTTGTGCCCCATCATTTTTTTTTTTTTCCTTACAGTACTGGAGATTGTACGCAGGGCCTTTGCCCTGAGTTACATCCCCAGCCTGCTTGTTTGTTTAGAGACAGGGTCTCACTAAGTTCCCCCTGCTGGCCTTGAGTTTTTAATCCTCCTGCCTCAGCCTCCCAGAGTCCTGGGATACAGACATGTGCCACCGCACCCAGCTGCCCTGTCACTTTGGAGAAGTGCTTTATTAAGTATTCTAGGTTTAGCATTTTATTTATTCTCATGTTGCTACATACTTGTTTCTACTTTTCTCCTGTAATAAGAGTAAAAGTATTCGTTAAACCAAATACCCTTTTTTTCTGAAACTTTTAGTGCTTACAGTCTCTCTTACACTTGATATCTTACATTTTGTCTTGCTGTAGTACATATTTGCATCATCCAGGTTACAATTTGTCTTTGTATGAGGATAGAGGTTGTAGTTTTGGGTCCAACAGTGTCACTGCTGCAGGGAGATGGTGCCCTAGCCGACACTCTCTGGATGATGGTCTCAGGGAGTATACAGGTCTGCTTTATTGCTAACAAAACAAGACTCTAGTGAGATGTTAAGTGAATCTTAGACTTTAAAGTTGTGTTTATAACATGGTTGAAAATTAATAAATTGAACCTTCATATAGCTCAGGACTAGTCATTAAAAAGCAGTTTGGTTAGTTTATTGAATTGTGAATTACTTTGAAGATTTCTTTTTTGCAAAAAATAATACTTAAGATGAATAGAATACATACAATGAAATATTATTCAGCCTCAGAAACGGAAGGAAGTTGTGACACATCCTTTGATGTCGATGAACTTTGAGAACATTATGCTCATTGTGTAAAAAGGCCACACACAGGACAAGTAGTGTTTGCTCCCACTTGTGTTGAGATGTAGGATAGCGTCCTAGAAATGTCAGTACAACCATGTTGCCCCAGGCTATGGGACTAGGAGGGGGCAGCAGAGGGACTGTTTAGTGGGTGCCGAGTTTGAGTTTGGGGAGATAGAAATGTTCTGCCAGGGATGGTGCTCATCGCTGCCTGACCATGGGAATGTTCTCACTGCCAAGCTGTGCCCTTCAAATGGTCAATTTTATCTCTAAAAGATATACCCTGATTTAAAAAATGAATATAGTAGCAAAATATCTTACCTCGGGGGACCAGTAATTAGAGAGTAACAGCTGGGGATACAGCTCAGGGGCAGAGTGCTGGGTTAGCAGGTGCGATGCTGGCTTCACTCCCCAGCACTGTGAAAAGAGGACAGAAAACGAAAGCAAGGGCAGGCTTGGCACAACTACTCTCGCTGTGTTTTAAGTGACGCCGGTCCACACAGAATGGCTTCATAAAAGTTCGGTGCCGCCCCTCTGGCAGAGCTGATCGTGTTGGGCTGGGCGTCTGAAGATGTTGCATGTTTAGTCTGCTGTCTGTAGGGACACGCTGGGCCTCATGTATGTCCTGTTAACCTGCACGTTCTGGCTTCCTGCCTAGTCTGCGTGTCAACCTGGACATGGGCAAGATCGTGTACAGCTGGGTGATTCGGAGGGATTCGAAGATCCCCGGGACTGTGGTTCGGTCCAGCACGATTCCCGAGCAGCTGGGCAGGATTTCGTACTTACTCACAGACAAGACAGGTGAGCTCTTCCCAGGGCCCGTGCAGGATCGGTGCAGGACGCAGGACGCAGGAGCGCCTGACCAGAGCTCTTGGCCTCTCCCGAGACACGAGGAGGAGCTGTTCACCCCTCTCTGGGAGAAGAGCGACGGTGCTGCTGTGACCGCGCCAGCAGAGATCGTAGCAGACGCTTCCCTGGGGCCAGCGTTGCGAGCTCAGTGCCGGGTGTTTCTGAGCCCCATTCATTAGGTGACATCTTACAGAGGGGTCGAAGCAGGCACTGATCCCAGGTAGTTTGACCTCCGTTCTGTCCCCCAATTTAATGTCTGTCTGGCTGTGGGAAGAATCAGGATGTGGCGGGAGACCTGGGTTTGGGCTTCCTCTCTTCCGTGCAGTGGCTGAGGGCAGGAGAGAAGCCGTCTCGAAGGTCCCGTGAACACCCAGTCAGCACGGAGGGGCCAAGGAAGTTGGGCCATGTCAGGGTCAGGGCCCTGGGGTGGGCTCTGTAGGGCTCTGCCTTTGGGTGACTTGAGTGTCCTCGTCTTCCAGCCATGGGTCTTTCTGCTTAAGGGTCAGGCTTCTCTCAGAATCTGGCCTCGAGTATGTCATGTGCCACCCCAGCCCTCGGCCAGAGGAACAAGTCAGGCACCCTTGATGGACAGTCCTCCTGGGTCACCCCAGGGCGTGGGCATAGTCGTGTCCATAGTAACTCAGCACACTTCTTTTTCTTGGTCCTAGGGATGGAAATCAGGGCATTGGACATGAAAGGCAACTGCTCTGTCACTGAGCTACAACCCCAGCTCTAGGATGCCTTTTTCTTTTTGAGACAGGGTCTCTCATTCTGTAGTTCAGTCTTTCAGGCTGGCCTTGAACTCACTATGTAGCCTAGGCTGGCCTTGAACTCATGGTGATTCAGCCCCCTGAGTGCTGGGGTTACCAGAAGATGCCTGGCTCTAAGGTGCCAGTTGGGGAATGGCATTCTGAGCAAGCAGAGTACCTCTTGTCGGCTCCACCAGAGCAGTACTGAAGTGGCAGGGGGCAAGAAGGGGACCTCAGAAGAGGGTGGCTCTCTTTTTCTTTTTGGAACTAGGGATCGAAATCAGGTCCTTGCGCTTGCGCAGCAGGCGGCAAAACCACTGAGCCAAACCCCAGGCCTGAGGCTGGCTCTCTTACTGTCACTCAGAGTGAATGCCGAGGATGCAGGCACAGTCACTTGTCTGTCTGTGTTTCAGGAACTCTGACCCAGAACGAGATGGTTTTCAAACGGCTACACCTGGGCACAGTGGCCTATGGCCTCGACTCCATGGATGAAGTACAGAGCCACATATTCAGTATTTACACCCAGGTAAAGCCTTCCATTTTAACAGTCGTTTAAATACTTCCTGTACATTTTTCACAGCTCTATTGCACGCGGTGTAATTCACGGTGCCATTCCATTTCTCCATTGAGGTGTACAGTCTGTGCCTTTTATTATATCCAGAGTCGTGCAGCCATCATCCCAGGTAATTTATGTTCCTCACCCCACGAGGAAACCCTGTATCTTTTAGCAGTCAATCCCACTTCCCCCAGTAAAAATCCCTCCGAAACCCACAGCAACCGCCAGTCCTTGACATGTGGAATAAAACTGCAGTTGAGGTGTCCCACTGTCCCCACCATAGGACCCGAATCTGAAGTGCTGATGGAGGTGGGAGAAGCCGAAGAGAAAGCGATTTGCCTACCATGTTAGCACCAGAAGGAGCTTTTGGGAAGCTATCAGTTGATTACACTTCAGTTTATGAATGTGTTTGTTTTTCCTTTTTCCTGTGCTCCAAGCCTGGTCAGAGATAGTAATGGTGTCCTCGGGAAATGGTCGTGGTCTTCCGGATTGCCGTTGCATTCCCAGCCACATTCACTCTAGCTGCCCTGAGAAAAAGATTAATTTATCAGGAAATACTTGGAACTTCTCTCTTCCTGCCTTTTCTTTCTTATACATTTTTTAAAAATCAGTAATTTCTCAGAGAAAGATGTTACTGGTAAGCGTCCTGATATTCAGAAAAAGTTAGAACAGTTGGGTCCTCACACCCCTGCTCATCAGAATTGCTACGGCTGTTTCGGAGTGAAACAGCACGGAAAACAATGACATTTATTGATGTTAGAGGTTCTGATTCACTGAGAGTAGGGCAGGGCCTTGGGTTTCTGTGTTTTAAAAGTAAGAAAAGATGGGGCCGGGGATTTAGCTCAGTGACCAAGGACCCGAGTTTGATCCCCAGTACCAAAAAAAAAAAAGTAAGACAAGATAACAAAACACCCAAAACAATCCCTCAGTAGTTCTGAGGCATCTTCCATCTGTTAGAACAGCTCATGTTGTGGTGCCTGTTTGGAGATAACAACTTAACTTCATCAAAACAGATAATGATTCCATCGCCAGAAGTTAAAATCTGTAAAGGTTAAAGGCAGAAGACCTGAGTCCTCCATGACCCAGTTATACTCGACACCGAATGTTCTGGAAGGTTTACACCTGGAATTCCACACCCTCCTGAAAGCAGCTGAGCAGGAAGTGTTTGTGGGTGGACTTAGGTAGAGAACAGTTGATTCCAGAGTCGGTGAGGACCCTGCGGCACACCCACCAGCCGCCATCGTAGCAGCACAGGCTGAGCACTCCCAGGCTGGCTGGAGCCCTGCTCCATCTGGCTTGCCATGCCCACTTAAGACCAGCGAGACGGTAAGGACTTCTCAGCATGCCCACCAGCCGCCAGTGTAGCCACATGGGTGCCTTCAACCCCTGGGCCAGGCCCCCACCCACCTTGTGTGGCCTCTTGGCTGCGCAGCTACCTGGTTCCACACTGCAGAGGCACAGGGGGGCATAAAGGCCATTGTCCTGAGCTGCAGAAGTGAACAACAGAGAGAGGGCCTCTCTCAGACTCCCTGATGAAAACTGAAGCCCACTGGAAAAGTGAAGAGAATCTCTGCAATAAAGGCACACCAGACCACTGTGCTTGGTAAGTTAGAGGGATCATCACCTCCCATCGGAACCTGAACTATCTTCAGGGGAAGGGCAGCTGGAACCTGCAGTAGAACCTTGCAGAGTTCAACCCTGCAGGAGGACAGGGAGCTCAACTTGGGACTTGCAGCCAGAAATCTGCCTGAATTTCACAGGTCTGCGACTGGCTTGTTGAGACTCATTGATTTATAACTGCACACTGCTGCCCATGTTGTCTATTGTGACAGCAGAGACATACCCTGAAAGAGGCCCTTCATTTTTATCTTTTATCTGTTATTTTCACTATTCTTTTGTTTTGTTCTTAGTTTTAATTTTTCCTTCTCTACTCTTTTCAAATTTTTATTTTTCTTTTTTCTTTCTTTTCTCTTTTCTTTCTCTCTCTCTCTGCCTCGCTCCCTCGCTGTCCCACATTGTTCTTCATTTTTCTTTGTGTTCTTGTTCTGGCCCTAATTCATATTTCTTCTTTATTTTTCTTTTCTTCTCTTTTTCCTTCTCTTACCTGTGTCCTCAGGCCTCACTGCTAACCTTCCCCTATCCTTCTACCTAGCTATCCCTCCCTCCCCAACTCCTTCTAACTCTCCATCCCGAAGGGTAAAGTTGCTATATTGAAGAGTTTATTCACTATAAACATACGTTGGGTTGGTCCTCAATTTTGATTTAATTCACACAGTTAAAGGTGATAGATTAATAACTACCACAAATTGTCATTTTCTAAGATGTAATCGGTGCTATGGTGTTGCTAATTGTATTACCTGGGCTAAGGTGTTGTGATTGATCTAATCAGTTGTCCTTCCTGGTATAATGAAAATGAGATAGCCTCAGAGCCATCAGAGACTCAAAACCTAAAGACCAGCTATACCTGGAAGACACCTCTGAGAAGCAGTCATTGGATAAGGGTTCTGAATACAAGCAACAAAGATACTTACAATAAGCAACTTCAAAGTATCAACCCAGGAATTAAACCAAGTACAGAAACAAAAACAAAAATGAGAAGACATTAAAGCAAGGCACAAACTCAGACTTCCACCCCACAAAAGGCAAACTCTGGGGGAAATGAGGTGGAAAAGTCTGATAATCAACCACCTAGATACCCTGAACTGATAGCACAGGAAGTAACAAAACAGATGAATGAGGCTCTAGAAAAATTCAAAACAGAAATAATCTTCCAGATAACTACAGAGATGGTGAACAGAGTGAAAAACATGATTAGAGGCTCTAGAACAAAAAGAAAAAAAAAAATAGATGACCTCAGAAATATGCTGGAAGCCATAAATGCCCAGCATAAGAAACAAATGGAAACCATGATCGCCCAACATAAGAAAGAAATGGAATCCATGAAACAGATTCAAACAGATATTCAGGAGATTAAAAACTCCATTGAAAGTATGCACAGCAGATTAAGGGAATGTGAAGATAGAATATCAGATATAGAAGAGAGGATTGTGGATAAGATCATGAAAACAGATTTCTTAAAAATAGTAAGGGACCACAAGAAATCAATCCAGCAGCTGCTAGATGATGCAAAGAAGAATAACATAAGACTGATAAAGAGTCCACAAAAAAACAGGAGAAGGTACAACTGACATAAAAAAACTGTTCACAGAGGTAATAGTGGAAAACTTCTCAGACAGAGGTAGAGAATTGGACATACAGATAAGTGAGGCATATAGAACTCCAACTAGCCATGATCAAAAGAAATCTACACCTAGACATATAATAGTCAAGATCCCAGAAACCCAACAGAAGAACAAAATTCTACAGGCAGTTAGAGAAAAGAAACAAATCACCTACAAAGGAAAGCCCATCAGAATCACGGCAGACTTCTCAACACAAACCCTCAAGTCAAGGAGAGCCTGGAGTGAAGTATTTCAAGCCCTAAAAGAGAACAGTTGATTCGATTCATCTCCTGCTATCATCTACAACCAGCTGTATCATCCTGTAATTCTTCCAGGCTCCTAGGGTGGGCCTTATGACTGGTCTCTGGGTGGATCCGTGGACCTTTTTTCTCAGTGATGTTCTTTTCTTTAGGACTAATAAGAAACCACATAGCCTGACCCTGGCCAGGCAAAGCAAGCCACATAGTCCCCATTCCCTTTGCCTGTCTCTGACCGTCTTCCTTAGGGTGGCGGAGCCCTGGTATCTCGCCCCTGGGTGGTCCTCTCCCCGGACTTCCATCCCCTGTAGATGCGTCTCGGTCTCCAGCCCTACCCTGAGGCTTTGGACTGCTGTACACCTGTGTGCTCGGCATCCTGCTGTTCCCTAAGGACAGTATCCCCAGGGTCCCAGTGTGCTTTCCTCATTCCCAACACTCGATTCTCTCCCTGAGGTTCTGGGGTTACTGGCCCCCCCCCCCCATGCCATCTCAGGACTCGAATCCTTCCTGTGCTCTCCCCATCGCCTCTGGCCTCCACCCCACCCATCCCTCAGTTCCTGCTGCTACCAGATCACCTGTCCAGCCGTTTGTCTTTGCGCCCTCTCCTATGCCTGACCACCCCCACTGGTTCCCATCTCTTTCCTGCTCGCCCTGAGGGCTCAGAGGTGGGAGCTGTGTCCCCTTCCGGCTCCTGAGTTCAGGGCAGAGAGCCGGGACCTTTTTGTCTTGGAGAAGCCCCTTCCTCCCAGCCAGCAGCCCTGGCCTCATCCGAGCTCCTCTTTGGGGCCTGTGTCTGACTGCGGCTGACCAGCCCTCTCCGTCTGACGGAGGGGAGGCCTCTGGGGATTATGCCAGACAGCTTCCCACATGGGGTGTCTGGTGGAGATGCGGCCTGGCCTGTGTTGGTGGGATTTTTAAGAGCTTGTGGTATTTACAGAAGCCGTTCTGTCTCTGGGAATTTGTCTATTATTTCAGTGTTTATGGTTCATTCTCAGTTGCGCACAGATAACACTGTGTAAAGTGTTAAAAGTCAGAAAGTGACACGTCTTGTCATGAACTCTGTCTCACGCTCCTTCCTGGCGGAAGCTCATAAATGGATGTTGGCTTGGTCTTGGGTCTCAGACAGTTCAAGGTTGTAGGCCAGGTCCGTGTGAGGCCATGTGTGTCTTCCTCCCTGGACATCTACAGGTCCTTTGGGGAGCACACGGCTGCTCCTGCGATGAGACGTATTGAGGACTTTTTCATAGTTTTTAACAGCTCTAAAAAACCCAGCCCTGATATGTGCACAGTTCAGTGATTTTTTTTTAGCAACTTTAAAGTGTGGAACCATCAGAGCCAGCTCGTCTGAGAGTGTGTCTTGTGCCTGTCCCCCCCGACCTTTCACCGTCCAGTGGATTCGCAGCACCCTTTCCCTAAAGCGTGGCATCTGCCGCATAGGGTCAGGTCTCTTGGGCTGGAGTCAGAAGCCCTGGGAGTTGTGCCCAGACCTGAA